TTGACAAAAGTTGGTACCAGAAGTGGGGTATTACTGTGATAGGCCTGACCATGTTTTTGTGTGGAGGAATCTGGACTTTGGAACTTTGGGTTAGGAAAGCAGTGGAATGTTTTAAGCACTGCTTAATGGGAGCATGCTAGTAAGAACATGGAAGACAGTGGTGCTGAAGGTGATTTGGGCTGTGGGTACTTGGCTCAAGAGGTTTCAGAGGAGAATTTTAGTATGCTGCTTAGGGATCATTTTGGTTATATTTTAGTGAAGAATGGGGCTTTTGTCCAAAGAGTCTGCCTGAGGCAAAGTGAATAGATTTGGGTTAATTCCATTGGCAGAGGAAATTTCAAAAGAGCCTAGTATAGACTCTGTCGTGTGGCTATTAGAGTTAACTCTAATGAAGCTTTATAATGAAAAGGAACAAACTGAGCAAGAAGTAGATTAAATAGATTAAAGGAAAGCCTGATGTTAAATGGAATAAAGGGAGTGGAAACCTCAGGGCATAATCCCACCCACCTAAACTTTCAACTTGTGAAAAGAAATTAAAGAACAGCTTTGGTCCAGGTATGGTGGTACACGTCTTTAATCCCAGCACTCAGGAGACAGGGGCATGCACATCTCTGGGTTCAAGGCCATCTTGGTCTATAGAGCAAGTTCCAGGACAGCCAAACAGGCAGTGAAGGAAAACTTGGAAAACAGAAAGTTAGTGAAGATGCAGTTGAATGAAGGGGCCATGTTTCACCCCCATCAAGCAGCAGAACTTTGCAGCTTTGGCCATGTGGTTCTGGCTTTAGAGTCAAGGATACAAGAAAAGGTTATAGAATTTGCCTCCAAAACTAAAGAAAGCTGCTGAGGCCTGGCATGTGTCAGGAGTGTCCCTGCATGAAGGCCCAGAGAGGCCATAATGAAGCTGTGAAGGGGAGGCCTGGATTGCCTTGGAGACCCCAAGATGTTGGAGAATGTAGAGCTGTGGGATGCCTGCTGAGGAAACCACTAGCAGCAAGTGGAAGCAGCCCAAGAGAAAGAAGTGTGCTGCAGTCAACAAAGCTGAAAGGATTGGAGATCTGAAGGGCGCTTGGACATCAGACATGGAGATGCAGAGTTTGGAGTTTGCCCAGCTGGTTTTTGGTCTTGCTTTGGTCCGGTATTTCCTCACTATGCTCCCTTTCCTCCATTTTGGACTGGTAATGTATATCCTGTGCCATTAGATGTTAGAAGTATGTGATCTGTTTTTTATTGTTATTTTATAGGGGATTACAACTAAGCAATTGCATGAATCTCAGAAGAGACTTTGAACTTTGGACTTTTAAATATTGTTGAGACCATGGGGACTTTTGAAGTTGGACTAAATGCATTTTGCATTATGTTATGGCTACAAGCCTATGGGGGACAGGGAATAGAATGTGGTGGTTTGAATCTAATTGGCCTCCATAATCTCGTAGGGAGTGGCACTATTAGGAGGTGTGGCTTTGCTGGAGTGGGACTGGCCTTGTTGGAGGAAGTGTGTCACTGTTGGGGCAGGTTTTGAGGTCTCATGTGCTCCAGCCATGCCCAGTACACACTTCTTTCCCTGCTGCCTGTGGATCAAGATGCAGAACTCTTAACTCCTTGTCCAGCACTGCGTTTGTCTGCATGCCACCCGCCATGATGATTATGGACTAAACCTCTGGAACTGTAAGCCAGCCCCCATTAAATGTTCTTCTTTGTAAGAGTTGCTGTGGTCATGGTGTCTCCACAGCGACAGAAGCCTGACTAGGACACTCTTCTATCACCCTGCTCAGCCTCGGAAGCACTGCTCTGTTTCTACATTCTCAAGGTCAATTCTTTTACATGCGAGAACATGTGGTGTTCATCCTCCCTCCTGTGCCTGCGTTATTTTAGTTAACGTTATGTTCTGTGGTTCCATGTATGTTGCAACAAGTGTCAGGATCTCATTATTTTCTGTGGCCGAGCGATGGTGTATGCATACATTCCGCATTGCCTTCTGCGGATGGGCAGCCTGGATGACTGTTGTGTGGTGGGAGGACAGGTGTCTCCTCAACGACACCGATTCCTTTCCATGGTAATGGGAATGCTGGATCTTTCTGGAGTTTCATTTTTAGTTTTTTGAGGAATCTCCATAGCGTTTTTGCATAATGGTTGCACGAATTTACATTCCTGTTAATAGTGTATGAAAGTTCCCATTCTTTGCATCCTCAGCCAGCATTTGTTACTTTTTGTTTGTTTGTTTGTGAGATAATAGCCATTCTAACTGGAGTTAGATGGTATCACAGACTGGTTTTGATTGGCATTTCCCTAGTGATCAGATAGAACCAAGCTTGCAAATTGGCTTCAAACTCATCTGGGGTCACTGGACAGTTTAGTGATTCTAAGTTTGGTTACTTCTCGGGGAAGTAGAGATGATCATAGCTGGCTCACAAGATTGCAGTAAGAATTAACAGCATCTATATATAAAGCATTTAGCTCTGGGTAGGTGGCAAGGGTCTGGTAAATGACCAGTGAAAACCAGTGTGGCAGCATCTCTTCTGCCCCGGCTGGGTGCTGCTGAGCTGATTAGGGACCATCAGTACTTTAGCACCTTTTACATGGGGATGAGACAAAGAGTAATGTTTATAGGTCCAGGTTCTGCCCCGGATGAAAAGGTTGGGCATTTTGTCTGTGACCGTTTGTGAGATATGGCAGCAGCGAATGGTTGGGCTAGTCTTCACCCTATAAAGAAAAGGCATGATGCTCCCAAAACAGAAGGAGAGGAGGTTCTGGCCGTGGAGAAAGGAGCAGTGGGCTGTGCCAGTCTGCACTTGCTTGCTGCCCTGAGTGAAGAAGCAGAAGCAGAAACAAGGGCGCTTACCCCACCCCTGTCCGTCTGCTCCACAGGCTTCTTTCTCCAACCCTGTGGCAGCTAGCTCCCCGGGCCTGGAGTGAAGAAACAATCACTAAAGGAGTCAGAAACAAACCCTGGAAAGAATTTAGTCCTCCCTCTTGTGTGCTCAGAACTTGGTTTGAATTTGTGGTTCGATATAGTTAGACTGTATCTAGTAGTAGTTTAAAATCCTGCATTAAAAAGAAAAATCTGTAGACACTGTATCCCTAACTACTTTAATCAAAGTTGTTTAGTTTCAGGGAACTAAGGGGAGATACTTAAGTGATATTTATTAGTCCCAACAAGAGTTGCTTGACCACTGTTTCAAATGTAAGGTAATTTCTTAGCTTTTAGTGCACTTTTCTTTGTCCCAGGAAATATCAGCTATGGACTTGAGTTAATGTTTCAGCACCGGCTTACTCATTCATACTTGCATATCCTATTGCATGTAAAATGCTAGCGATAGAGGTGACCGGGTGTAGACTATACGGGCTTTCTGTCCTATATCACATTTTCTGTAGCTTTTCCACTGCTCTGAAAATAAAATCCTAAGGATTTCAAGGTTGGAGAGATAGCTGAGTAGTTGAAACCTTTACACACAAGCATGAGGACAGAGGTTTAGATCCAGAACCCATGTAAATGCTTTTTGTGTGTGATGTCCACTTGTAGTTCCAGCCCCTGTAGGGAATCCTCAGAGCCATCTGGCCAACAAGATTAGTCATATGGGCAAGCTCTGGGATTGATTGAGAGGCTCTTCCTTGATGAATAGCTGGAAGAGCAACTGAAGATGACTTCCTACATCAACCTTGGGCACACATACGTGTACACCACACACACACACACACATACACACACACACACACACACATACATGTGAAAACATACCTGCACCCCACACATAAAATGGAAAAACTTAAATCTTAAAATTTTTTAATTGTCTTAAGTTTTTTTTATTTAAAATTTAGAAACGGAAGAAGTATCCACACAGAGAAGCCAGGTTTAGTGTTTGAAGAGCTTTACTGACCACACACACCACAACACAAAAGACCTGCTTAGTGGAAAGCACAGCTAGAAACCAAACTCAGAATGAGACAACTAAAGGCTGTCACGTGTTCATATAGAGCCCTTACTGTTTACATCCACAAATGTCTAATTCCAAGATGGTGAAGAGTTACTTCTATTATAAAGCTAATGCAGAGGCTGTAGTGTGGACAGCCATCTTGGCTCAGCTGACCAACGCAGCCCTTAGCTGTCAAAATGGGAGAATGGTTACTTGTGTTCCCAAAGCCAGAGCTGTAATCTTGTGGTGAGACTCTGGAGTCTAACCGTTGTCCATTCAGGGTTGGTTTCCTTACTGTGGGGCTCACATGGAAACCACACTGAGGAATTACATGGGAAATAGCTTCAACACTTGATACTTGTCTGTAGTTACCTTACTGAAATCCAAAAACAAAAATCTCTTTTATAGCCTTTTTGAAAAAAAGAATTATGCTGGGGTGGCCAAAAAGAAACCATTTTGGTTTGTTTGTTTGTTTGTTTTTTTCAAGAGTCAAGTTGAACAAATTGGAGAATATTCCCGCTGGTCTAGGACATAGATTTCCTCCCACACACCATTTCCTACATCCACAAGTTCTTGTGTGTTTGGACCCTCCTGAGAGCTGGGGCCATTATCAGAGGGAAGAGGATGGCCTGACAGGAAAGTTAGAAATGGTTCTGCCAGCCTTCTCCCCAATCCAGGGCAGGGAGGGACATGGCCAGGTCACCCCCCCTTCCATTCCTGCCAGGCTAGCATCAAAATGACTTAGTCCATGGAGGCTGACAACACAGTAACTTTGTTTCCAAACCCAAAATCAGGGCGCAGTGTCTGACAGCACTGCTAATAGACTTAGAACTCAGAAGTTCGGGATGAGTGGCTGTGGTTGCAGCAGGACCCAGAAGTGTCAGCCAAGACCCAGTTCTGTTCTGCTGGTGGTGTCCATCCCCTAGAGGAGAGCGTGGAACAGCACTATCAAAAGCCCTTCCTTAGACATCTCCAGGTGGGCATCAGTATCAGGACCCCAGCTGCAGGAGAGTGTCCAAGCTCCAGGCTTTCATACTGGCCTGTTCTTTAACAGTTGTGGAACCCCAGCTCCAAACTGGAGAGCCTGGGGAGTGGACTCTGTCTTTCCCTGCTTCCTTGTCTCATAACATGCAGTCCGCCCCGCTCTCCTCTTTACCTGTGTCCTGTGAACTCCCAAAAGAAGCCAGGGAACCACTACCAGGAAATGGCCATTTCCATAGGCGCGGGCCACCCTGCATGAGAGAGCAGCTGGCCGGTTGTGTCACATGCCTCTGAGCAGTTGGAGAGGCCAGCAGAAGAAGGTGCAGTGGGGAAGGGCAGTGTCACGTGCAGCCTCACAGGAAGCGGGCCAGAAGATAGCTGAGGACCACAGGGCTCAGCCGTTTTCCTCAGCGGATTAAAGCCACGCAGGTTAGTGCCCTTTCCTTTCTAGCAACACCCCCAAAGGTGGCTCTGGAATGCCCCACCCGATTGACTCCCTTCCCTTGAACCGACTTTAAGTGTGTCTCTGGTGAAAAGGAACTTCCCTGGCTTTGAATGTAAGACTCTGTGCAAAGCTGGTAACCAACCGCACGTTGTCAGAGGAACAAACACTGAGCCACTGTGGTGAAAACGAAATTCTCAGAATCGCTGGTTTCCTTGTTTAGAACTTCTATGCCTTTGGAAAGAACAAACTTCAGATGTTCGTGAAATAAGTTATTTCATGGACTGCAGCTAAGACTCTTCTCATTTGTGCTTATTAGCACAAATCTGAAACAGGACCGGTCAACTTGTGTTTGCAGACGTGTGGGGTGTTAGAGAAAACAGAAATAATGTGGGTAAAAGTGTGTTTCAAGGCTATGTGCAAAAGCTTCTTGTTTTATGGACTTTCATCTCATAAAACCTATCTTTTGGCTTGCATTTCATGGCAGAATAACTTTCCGGGCCTATACATTCTCTCTCTCTCTCTCTCTCTCTCTCTCTCTCTCTCTCTCTCTCTCTCTCTCTCTCTCTCTTTCTCTCTGTCTCTCTCTCCCCCCCTCCCTCTCCTCCTCTCCTTTCCTCACTGAGGAGAGCTTGTGGGTACAGGAAGCGGGTAGGGCAGCTTGAGTGAAGATGGGGAAGTTCTCAGTATGAGAAGTAACAAGACCTGGACTGAAGCTGAGCGGGTTCGGAGAGGCTGCAGGGCTTGGTGGTGACTAGAGCCCTCCATTCCTTGGCCTTCAGATGGTAAAGAGCATTGGGTGAGTCTAGCAATGTCAGAAAGGTGGGTGAAGGGTTGTGTGAGGCGTTTCAGGAGCCTCTAACCAGTCCGGGCCATCTGGTAACCACCGAGGGAACACATTCATGAACGGCAGAGTCAACAGAAGTTCTGTCACAGTGACTGGCTGCTTCCAGACCTGTAACGAGCAGGAAAAATGTCTCAAGTCTGAGTCAAGAGGAGGAGGCTTTAGAACAGCCACGTTAGCCAGGGAGGTGGCTTTGCTCTTTCTGGTGCTGGAGCTGGGGCTCAGTAGGGAGAGCATTTACCTCGTGTGGGGGCTTAGTAGGTAGAGTACTTGCCTCGTGTGCACAAAGCCCTGGGTTTGGTTTTAACTGCAGCACCATATAAACTGGGTGTGGCCGTGCACAGGCCTGTAATCTCAGCATTCGGGATGTGGAGGCAGGAGAATCAGGACTTGAAGGTCATCTTCAGTTCCATAATGTCTTCAAAGCCAGTCCAAACTGCAAGAGACCTTGTCTAAAGACAAACAAACAAACCAATAACAATAATGAGAGGGCACTAGGATCAGTTTCCTATTTCCTCTTTTTCTTGGGTCTAGCTTGAGCGTTCTAATGTGTCTTTTCTGAAAAACAAGAGGTGATAGGTTAGTGGATTCCTGTGTTGTTTACATTCCAGTAATGCAAAATAACCAGGACGGTGATGAAAGTTAAAACCCACTGTTGGGTATGTACTGGGATTGCAGCATACTTTTCATTTTTTACTATCGTGTTTTGCAAGAAAGTGGAGAGGAAGCTGATACTGAGGGAGGGTTCTCTAAGCTAAGAGCAGAGCCTGAATGTTTTCCTAAAGCCATTCCCTAGTGCTGACGGAGGCAGGGCATGATTTCAGCGGGCGGGACAGAGCAGATCGGACTAGCCTTGGCCACAGCGAAGTGGGGGCTGCAGCGGGTGGTCGCCTGTTACGTGGCACTCCCCCAGAGTATCAGAAAGAGGCCTGTAACTTAGCCGTGACTGGGCGTCCCTCGAAAGACCACCTCTTTGGTTCTATTTTGCTCTGTAAAGTTTGTCAGAGAGCTTTGCTATTTGGGGAGTATTATGCTAATCTGCTGTTCATAGTAGAAAGGGACTTTTATTTTGTTTAATGCTTTCCAGATGGGCCCGATGTCTTTTTTGTGTGTGCATCGTTCCAAAAGCTGTTTCCATTCCTTCTTCTCTCCTTAGGCATTTCTTGGCCTCTTTTCCAGCTTTCTGCTTCCACTGTGTCTAAGATGCCAAAAAGGCATCGGAAGGGTTCTCCTTATACACCTTCCTGACCTCCAGGCTGGAAGGGCTCTGAAAGGAAGGTGGATCCAGGATGGCAGATGGTGGGTCATGCTGGGTGGGAAAGCACTGGTAGTTTTTAGTTAGGCATTACTGCCAAGTTAAGCACTGAATCAGCTTGAAGGTGAACAGTGGGAAGAGATGAGTTGTCCACTTAAAGCTGGAGAGAAAAATGGTAAGTTTTAGGAGGGACCGTACAGGCGCATTACAGATGCTCTAAAGAAGGGGAGTGGGGCCCACAGTCCTCCTTTTTCACCAGACCCTGACACATAGCATCCTTTCCCCAAGATCCCATGTGTTATGAGAGAAGCACTGTGAATCGAGTCAGTAGCCACATCTGTTATTGCATGGGTACCTACCAATTTTGTGATTTCTTCCTGCTGGTAAAGAGTCACTGTTTGGAAGCAACTGACTAGCTACCTCCCAGGGTGTCTGTTTTGATACTGTCTGGAGTGACTTGGGTTCCTCTGCACTTGCATTTCCGTGTATGTATTTCACAGTACCGTGCATTAATTAGATGGTGGGTTAGTAAGACTTTGTATCATTGCAACAATGTTTCTGGTATGAGCTGTATAATGGAGGATTGGTTTGTTTGGCTCACAGGTGCAGAGGTTTCAGCCTCGTGGCATGACAGTACCACAGCAGAGTAAGAGAATGGCAGAGGAAAGATGTTTGCCTCTTGATAGCCGGGAAGCAAAGAAAGAGACAGGAAGGGGCTGGGGACAAAGAATACCTTTGCAGGTCACAATATAAGGGGACATAAAAGTAGGCCCATCCCTTACTTCCCACCACCTTCCAATAATGCCATCCTTTTATGAGTCCATCATGGAATTAAGCCTTTGGTGAATTCGTGGTCCAGTCACATCTCAGGAATCCTAGCTCTGAACACCGCTGCAGTGGGAGCTGGACTTCCAGTGATTGAGCTGTAGGAAGAATGCCTCGTGTCAGAACTGGAACAGCTGGAAATCATGGTGGGACTTAGGAGGAGCTGTAGAGTTGTAATAAGGTAGGTGTGTGTGTGTGTGTGTGTGTGTGTGTGTGTGTGTGTGTGTGAGTGAGTGAAATCCCTAGGGGATTCTATTTTTTTTGCTCAGCTAAAAATCATTAGATGAATTGGGCGTGGTGGTGCATGTCTTTAATCCCTGCACTTGGGAGGCAGAAGCAGGTAGACTTCTGAGATTGAGGCCAGCCTGAGCTACACAGTGAGATTCTATCTCAAAAGAACTGAAGCCTTATTAGATGGTATCTTGGAGTTATTCGAACCAAAATGTTACAAGTTGTTGTAACAAGTTCTTGTTACTAAGTTACTGTTATTTGACTAAGATGTTGCTGTGTGTGGACTCATTTGGAGAGGTTGGCAGTGGACACTGCTGTTCTGTGTGGTGGTACTCTAGTGTCTTCTTCCATCTCCAGGCCTCCCATTGGGAAGAACTGGTCTTCCTTGAAGGCATTAGAAACCTGTAGGGAGATTCTGACTTCAGAGGACTGCAAAAGGGTCCAACAAAAGGGCTGCCCAGTACCTTACCAACTTGCTGTACAGAACGCTGTATAGAAGGCACTATTAAAGGAAGGGAATTGATGTCCCAGCTTAGCTTCTTACCACAGTGGAACTTCTCAGGAAAAGCATACACATCCCACCTCTCATTGAAATGAACATGCTTGATGACCTGCCACCAGGATTTCTCCCAAAACCTCTCCCACAGATCACCGTGTCTCTCCGTCTTCTATTCATCCCTTCCTTTCTTCTCCCAAATTTCTCCTCTGCCACGCATGCCTGTCAGCTTCTGAAGGTTCAAGCCAGAATTTTTATATGTAGATGGTGTGTTCAATCCAGAGCATTTAACAAGCATCTTATAAAGAGGGAACCCAGCGACCCTGGTAAGCATAGCCACCAGAATGAAAAGGTGGAAAGCCTGTGTCCAAGGGAAGCAATTTAGGAAATTAATTGGTATAAGATAGATCCTGATGAATCAGGAAGAATGAATAGTTTGCTCATTTTATTTTTCTTTTAAGCATGTATAAGGAAATAGCAGTAAGAGAAGACTTTGGAAAGCCAGAGGTGATTTGTCTTAAAAGACACAAATGTCAGGTTATTGAAAAACTGTTTTCCCTTCCTCGGTGCCAAGAACATCTGACTTTGAAGAAGTTTAAATGGGTAAACAGAAAATAGGATCTTAGTGGATTTTGTTGTTCTTTTGGTTTTTGTTGGTGTGTTTTAGAAAAAGAAGCGATTTTAAGAGGCTCCTGTTGGAACCTAGTATGCTGACCCTGCCCTCTGGGCGGGACATGCATATGGTATTCAGGCAGATACTTTAGGCAGCTCAAAGGGCCCTGTGGTGCATGGCCACGTCATGGCTACAGGTGCCTACATGGTATCTACAGTCCTGCCTCATGCCTAGTGGGGAGGAGATTAGGAGGTTAAGTGTTTGCCAAAGCAACCTCTGCTTACTGCTACTTCCTTCTAAATCCTCCTGGGAGACAGCAATGCAATTGAGATTTTATTGACAGAAACCTATTCCACTTTACCTTCACAAAGCCTGTGTGAATGATCTGGTCCCCAGGAAGTAATGAAGGGGAATAGTTAGTAATGGGCCTGGGATAGGACTGGGAAATGGGTTGAATCTAGTAGACACAGATGTGGATTGGAAACTGTGGGTGAAATCTGTTGTAAAGTGTGGATGTGTATCAGGGCTTATGAGGTCCGGGATGAAGCAGTCCTTAGGAAAGCCAGCCATCCTTAGCATCGTTTCCCAGGTGGCCTGTCCACCTTCAGAGACCTGAGGCAAACTCCATTGTCTCGGGGTGATAATGTGGGCAGTAGGCACGGTCAGTGGACTGCACTAGTTGTACATGCTCATATGCCCAGCAGTTCCTTGTGCGTTTTATAG